AGAGGAAACAGCAACACATCTGCAACCCGTGGTTCACATCTACACTCACCCGCAGGAAGAAGGTTTTGGGACGTACAATGTAACTGTAAAAGAGTGAGGGGGTGAGGGGTGACGGGTAGAGGGGGTGAGGGGGAGAGGGAGAGAGAGGGAGAGAGAGAGAGGGAGATAGAGAGGGAGAGAGAGAGAGAGAGAGAGATGAGGTATGTTTTAGAAAGATAAACCAACGAAATACTACTTTTTTGCATAATTTAACAAACATTCTGAAGCAAAGTGAGTCTGAAAACGGTCAAAACTGGATTTGATCTCATTGTCCGTGATCTGATTATAAAACTCTTAGATACTTTAAAGTTGGAGCAAGGGCATGATGTATATAGAGAAAAAAGAAGGCGGCTGGTCAAAAAATTACACGTGTTGAAGTTACCGAACGGACACCATATTTTTATTTATTTATCTTTACAAAATGGTGGGAAATCCCAGTGTTGCCCTTGAAATTGTCACCGATACAATAATCCTCCTCCACTTTGTTTTTTGCTTAATTAAATTTACAAAACTGCTGAAAAAAAGTAATGTATTGCAATATCTTTTAAGGAGGCTAGAAGTTTAATGACAAACTGGAATCTGCCCCACTTTTGAAGATTAAAGTAAATTTCAACAAGGCCTGTGGTCTATTGTAATTTTCCACAGTTTGTTTCTGGAAAGCGAAATTATTGAGTAATCCTTTCTCAAATTTTCCATGTGTAAATTTACACCGTGCCCGTTGTGAAAAATGTGCCAATCCTTCGAAACGTGGAAATAAATGAATGAGTGAGTGAGAGAGAGAGCGTGTGTGTGTGTTGTGTGTGCGTGCGCGTGCGCGTGCGTGCGTGTGAGTGAGAGAGAGATCTCATTGTCCGTGATCTGATTATAAAACTCTTAGGTACCGACTAAGAGAGAGATAAAAAAAAAGATGGAGAAAGAGTGAAAGTGAGTGAGAGTAAGGGAAAGAGTGGAAGAGGGAGAATGAGAGAGAGATAGTAAGTACATAAGTGAGTGACTGAATGAGTGAGTGAGTGAGTGAGAGAGAGCGAGAGGGGGGAGGGAGAGAGACTGAAGAAGAGTAAGAAAAAGAGGTATTACCGACTTTCACGAAAATCGGTATAAATTAATTTTTCGACTGATAATTTCGACTTGTCTGACATTTCTAGTGCCAACTTTTAACATCATTTTTCTCAACAGCTAACGGACCGATTTTCATCATTAATAATTCGTTTTAAAGAAATTGTCAAATGCATTTTATAACCGTATCAAATATTAAAATCGGACATTTATTTCCATTTAAAAAACGAGGTTAATTTCTGACAAATAATTTTGTATTTTCTTATAGAAATTTTTCACATATTTTAATGGTACTTCTTTCAAAGCTACATTCCTCTTCTTTCAAATGGTCTGTTTGACGTGAAAATCCTTTTTTAGTCGTTTTTGAATTATAGCCGTTTCAATCAGATATTCCGATAACGTCTTCTCAAAAATCGGAAAAATTTTAGGGGTCTCTGGAGGTGATAAAACGAAATTTCACATTAGACTCACGAGAAAAAAAATTGACCTAGTTTTCTTGAAAAATATTTGACTTTTAGCAATTTTTTGGTTATTGGTAAACTTTGATAGCTCTTAGTATATTTTTATTACAATCTACATAAAAAATGCTATGCAATGATGTATTCGCATAGTTGGTTTGAGGAAGAAGAAAGGCAACATAAAAATATTAAAATTAGGAAAATTTGAACTTTCAATTTTTTTTTTATTCACAAGTTGTAGTACGTGCCTTTATTTTGGAGTGTAGAAACAAAAAAAGTTTAGTCCAAATCCATGATCCATCAACCTGGTCGTCCCCTTGTTAGTTTACAACTGCAGGTAAATCTAACACTCTTCCATGAGGGACAATTTATGATTCGGGACTTGGAAAAATAATAATAATAAAATAGAAAAATTAAATACAAAAATAAAGAAAATTTGTAAAATGTTATCGTTTTTGCAATTATTGCCAACTTTTAGACTTATAGTCATTACTGAGACAATCCTTAACCGTACAAACTTAGAATTAAGTCAAATAGTTTTACAATTTCACTCCTTTTAGCGATTATCGGTAACAAGTTTCATGAGGAATAAATTGCAATTACTTAATAATTATAAAATCCTGTCCACATGAAATTATGAATATTTCATATGTCTGGCGAAAAAAAGCCATTAGTACTATAATTCTCTTTTTGAGGAAAACTTTGGTTCTTTCGTTTTTTCAACAAACGATCAAAAGACTCCTGTACAAGTACATCGTACATGTTATTTGAGTGGAATTGGTTCATATTTACATAATTGCATGGTTTATGTTTTGTCATTTTAAGGGAATGTTAATAGAAGTTGGTCCATTTTCCAGTATTATAAATCATTTAGCTGTTAATCAAAAACATCCGTCAGCGAAGTTGTTTTATTTCCCATGATCGATGGACTTATTGATACTCAAAACATTTTTAGGAAGAAAACGACTCCACCTAAAGACTATTTTTCCTTAATGGCTGCACACTCTTGATCAATTATGAAACTATCTGGTGGGATTGACATTCTGAGGAAGAGCACTGGAAGTTATTGGTTCAGTTGGATTCGTATTTTTTGAATGTTGGAATTAAAATATGATAAATGGGGGTAGTGAGGGCCGGCACACTTTGTAAGTCCTCCATCGGCCGTTGTGTACGTCTCTCCACCTTGCAGTTACAGTTACAGTATTTTCCTGTCAAAAAAAGAGAACATGTTGCACAAAACCTACAAAGATAGGCTCAAAATATTAAATTTTCTTTGAAGAAATTTAAAGACTGTTTTGATTGATAGATACTGTCTGGTATTATATAATAGACTGATAGATAGAGTCCATTGGATTTGAACAATATGCATCTAATTTTTAATGGAAAACAGTCGATTTCAAATTGGTGCTTCAAATGGCATGATAAAAGATTGGCTAAATATTTTTAGTTGATCCAAAATGTCCTAAAACGCAGTTTTTCTTTTATCCTTGGTCAAAGACCTTTGTGTTACCCAATACAGGGATGGGACACTTGCATGCATCTGCATAACGGGAGCAAGGAGAACATGTCCTATAATGGAAAAAATACTACGATTAATCCCCCTACACAACATGGTAATAAGGACAGCGAATAAAACCATCATTAATTTTACCAAGGGGAAACCTCCAACAGGAATAAAACTAAAATGGAGAGATAGCAATAAACTATAGAAAGACCATCTGATACTCAGGGCTCCAAGAGATGACATGAACAGGATGTTCGAATTTAACCAAAACTTCCGAATAAACCTGGGTACCAAAAAAGAATGGGAACGAGAGGGAAACAACTCTTTCAAAAATGGCACCATCCTTTGGTACACAGATGGATCTGGAACACAAGAAGGTACAGGGGCAGCAATATTTGGACCTGGAACCAAATACTCACAACCCATGAAAACACACCAATATCTTCCAAGCTGAGATTCATGCGATCGAAAGATGTACCCAACTCAATCTAAGGGTACAAAAACAAGAATCAGATAGCCAAGCAGCCATCAAAGCACTAAGCTCAAATATCATTAGTTCAAAGATGGTGCTGAACTGCAAAACAAAATAAACATATTAGGTATGCAGAACAGTCAGCCTCTTCTGGGTTCCAGGGCACATGGGAGTAGAAGGCGATGAGAAAGCGGACAACCTTGCAAGGAAAGGAGATGCTACAGCGCTGATAGGCGAACCCTTCGGTGCCATAGGAATCCACACTATTAACGAGTATCTTAGACAGAAGGACAAAAAGAAAATGAGGGAACTTTGGATTCACTCATTGGACACACACAATCCAAGAATCTTCTAATTTTGGAAGGAAAGAAATTACAGAATGTGTCAAGGGAAGCAGGAACAAACTGCGAATCCTAATAGAATTCCTAACAGGACACTGCAAGTTAAATGGACACTTAAAGAAAATTGGAATAATCCAAGATGGCACATGCAGATTCTGCAGAGGCAGAAGAGACACCAACACATTTACTAACAAACTGCAGAGCTACAATAGCCCGCAGGAGGAAATGTTTTGGGATGTACAATGTGACCACAGAAGAGCTTCAACCATTGAAACCAGGCCTAATAATCGACGAAATAGGACTCACCGATGTGCTTTAGGCAAAGCACAGGGGGGGGGATACAATAGCTCTTAAAGGGTGCAGTATACTACATCCCGGAACTATATCTACATCTACCCAAAACAGTTTATGGAAGGAAAGAGAAAGAGATGTAGGGAGAGATAGAGTGAGAAAGGGAGAGAGCACTGAAATAAAGAACATGTTAGATTAAAGCATTTTATATAGTTTATTACAATACATTTAAATAGTATATATTCATATTATAAAGAAAAACATAATCACATTTAAATACATGTGCCAGAAGGTGGAAAATCGCTACTTTAAACAGGGTTAAAATTATTATAGTATGATTATTTCTTTTTATGTTAAGATATACTTAATACTACTATTTCTTGTTTTTTATGTGTAACCCAAGTGCCTAAATAAACTATTATATTAAAATAAGGTGTAAGAATTTTTTTTCTTTATCACGTTTATGTCAATTCACAACCGCTGTGAGCTTTAGATCACAAATAAATAATGTAAATAAATAATTTATTTATTTTTCATTCAAACACAAAATACTGTTAATGCAGTGCACCTTAATCTAATGGAAAGTTTCTAAAGTATTCTTATATGAAATGGAATGTTAATTATCAACGCATAACATTTAGATGGATATCATTGATATTAATCTTAAATACTTAGATTACACTAAATCAATCATTTTCCCGCTAATAAATTTATTAAAAAACATAAGTTATCATACATTATTCATTACAAAAATAGACACTGGACATAAAACAACTAGCAATATATATTATTTAATATCATTCAACAGGGCTATCTAATTTAAATGGCAATTTTTTTTATTATCTTAAAGGTATCAATTGTTATTTGAGCTTTTTCTAATCACAAATTCAAAAATTGCACACAAATATATTTATAAAATCCAAAATAAATATTTAAAAAAAATTATATATTGGCAAGGCACTGATATATTTGGTTGTTAACTCGTTATATTAAAAAATATATGATATTTGAGCTAGTCGTTGCTGCATGTATAATATAAAAATATTCACTCACCAAGAGTTTATGAATGTTACCTTCATTTACAATATATTATTTAAAATAACTAGTAACAAGTTCTGAAAGAAACAATTTATACAATCCACTTCTGGTAACACATGACAAATAATACAATTAAAGAACAACAAGTATAACCAAAAAAAACGTGGACAAATTTACAATTTTTGTACGATGTCATATTTCTTTTTAAAATCGATTGTGCTATCTTTTTTTGGGTCATACTTCTTCCTTGCTGCCAACTGAGCCCGTAGTTCTTTAGCAGTCATATTCAAATTGAGACTGTTGTGCTGTTCTTCATTTGTGCTCGAGTTGTCTAAGTGGGAATTTTTGTCAGTATTGTCCTTATCTGCGGTGATAATTTGAGGTTGTATTGATGTCTGAAACATAGAATAGCATTTTTAAAGAAATCGTGATAAATCCTTACTATCTAGTACAGTTGTTAACTAGAGCTTTTTTATCAAAAGTAAATTTTTTGTTTTAGCGACGACAGGAAAGCATTAGGATAAAAACTTCACCATCTGGACTCCAACATGATTCTAGAATTTTAAAAAACTCTTGATTTAAAAGAACCGTCATAATGATCACAATATACAAGTTAAATCAAATGTTCATTTTTTTTTCGACACAACCTAGTCTTTTTAACTAGGTGCTAAAAGCATAATTTAAACTATAGAAAGCAAAGCACAATCAAACGTCCGCTTTGGTAGTGGACAAACAGTTGTGAAACATTTACGCCATCTTAGTCAGAAATCGTGAGATGTGGTCTGGTGTGATGAAGGTTTCAGAAAAACATTTTCTTTATCAATATCATCTCTGAAACCTACATCACACCAGACCGCATCTCACGATTTCTGACTAATTATCGATTAACGGTCACTAATCACCACACATTTACGCCATCTTCAAACTTCTTGACCTTTTATTTCTGCTATCTCTGCCAAACGAATTAGCATGCCAAAACTTCATAAAAACGATGTTGCTTCAACTTTTACATTTCTTCATTCTAATCATTCGACATAGTTAATATAATAATTTTTACACAATCAATTATTAATTAGTTACACAACTAATTATTATTTTTTTTTAAATTGTCTTCTCACGACATTTTAAATAACCAAACAATTATTGTACCTGTGCAGATTTACACAAGGTTCTTAATTTAAAACACAGTTACAATTAAAATAAAAAATAATACAATTATATCTTATTTTTCTGATTAACAATTATTCTTCCAGAAAAGTTTTTCTTCTAAAAAAAAAATAGACTTCTCACATCGCCATTCTGACATTGGATCTGTACACGGAGCCTTTAATAGCATTAAAAATAGTCAGGTGTTTCTTCTTAAAGAAAAATATATTCTCGACATATATATTATAAATCCTTGGGGACTGTGGTGGCCTAGTGGTAAGAGTATCCGACTCGTCACCATGCTAGCGGTCCTTGCTTCAAATCCCGACACAGGTCATGGTTTTCAGTTGATAATAGTATGAAAGAAGGCGACACTGGTCACTTATTAGAAACGAGAAATTATATCTATTATAATAAAATATATTTATAGACTTATCATTTATTCCCTGTCACAGACGATGGGCGACACCCAACAGGTAGTTGGACGTTAATCACTCCTGTATGACAGGAATTATTTTACTTATAAATCCTTTAAAAAAAAAAATCCAAAAATTCTTCTTTCTAAAATATCCATCCGTCGTTTAAAAACTAATACCAGATTTGCGAGGAAAATAGTCTATTTTATACAAGAGATTTAAAAATGGCGAAAGTTTTAAATGTATTATTACAATTTTACATACATGAAATGAAGCTTTACAAATTTTTACCATTTCTAAATTTCCTTTAAATCCAAAATTGCTTTTAGAAAACTACTTATCATTGTGACAAAATTAAAAAAATCTAAAAATTATTTATCAACGTGTAATTCTATTATATGGAAATGAAACCTTTTATTTAGCAGCCATAAATGTTAATTTTATATTTGATTAATTAGAAAAAACAATCTTGTTATTAAATTAAAACACAATCAAGTATTTCATGGGTTTTGTAGTACCATAAAATCATTTAATTAACAAGTTGATTATTATTAAATATAAAATTTTAAAAAGGGATTGTTAAATATGTGATTAAATATAAAGATAACTCACTGGTTCCATTCTGGGTTTTGCCAAAAGAAAATTAAGATGCTCTATCAATGCGTGTGCATGAAATGAGAACAACTGGAGGAATATTGTTATATGGACCATGAGTCAGCACCAGAACAAATTTCTAAGAGATAAAAATTCTAAAGTTATCTCAGACTCTCTGCCATTTATGGGAAGATATTATTACGTTCGATCATTTCATATTTCCCTTGGAAATCTAAACACTTGGAACCACTAAAAAAGTCATTTAAAATGAGACTAAGCGAGACTAACGTGTACAATTAAACTTTACTCGACTTTATTCCCGTGTTACTGCCGAGGTTTAATAGAATCACAAATGACTTGCGTAACGCTGGCATAATTTGTTCAGGTGTGTTAAATTTTATTTGATTTCTCTACCTATACAAACAATTTGGCTGAAATCTTTCTGTAATATGAAAATACAAAGAAAATTAAACGAAAAATTAAAAAAATTGAGATCTACCACACTTTTTTTATACATTACGGAGTCTACGACATAAAACATTAAAAAAGAAATTGTTAATAGGAAAATGTTAATTGCATAACCATAATTGTGAAAAACTTTAAATTATCAATTAAGATAACCAAATTGATTTTTTTTTTAATTAACAAAAATTTGTGTTACAAATTGAGATAAAAATTGAACAATTTTGTTAATCATCTACAACAATCAAATTTCTTTAGTCTTACTAATTTAAGATGATTACTCATTCAAGATTTGTTTAGTTGAAAAAACAACCTTGAGAAGTTGTTTTTATCGGCAATATGCTCCTTGCAAATGTCACCGAGAATAACTAAATAATGAATATATTAACATTAACTAAACATTGAGAGAAAATGAGCTTTTGTCAAAAAATAAATTAAGTTTGTATTTTCAACTTTAAAATGTTTTTTATAAACTACTTAAATAAGAGAAAAACGGATTTTAACCGCTTTAAAAGATAGTTAGCAGCTTCTTTTAGTTACAATCATTCTCTTTTAATAGGACAATTTTTGTCATTATTTCTATTAACAATAGATTGCCTCTTTTTGGCTTCTATTAAAAGTAAGGAGAAATAAGTTCTCTTTTTTTTAGGTCGAAACTAAATGTAAATTTTACTTCATTACTTAATGAGAAAGACTATGATATAGTACTTTTTAATTGCAAATTAAATGTTATAATTAACTACATTCCCTAGACGGATCATTCAAGTATGCTATTATATCATTCGTAATACAATCCTAGTAGTAAAATAATAATAAATGTTGTTGTCATGAAAAGTCATGTTTTTGTGGAAGATATTTTGAATGTAATAAACTAGACTTAAAATTAAGAGAGACTAGCTTTAAAAAACAGAGATCTCTCTTCTGCCTAATATATATGGGTAAACACAACCACCTGTGTTCATCTGAAGGCAATTTGCCAGAGAGAGTTGGTCTACTGGGAATTTTAGATTTTAATACACTTGTTGAATATTAATTGGTCGATGACAATTTTTTTTATAAATTAACAAAACAAGATTACAAAAAGAACAAATTTTGTTTGTTGTTGAAACAATTCCCATTATCTCAGCTGAAAAACAATATTATAAAGCATTAATTTTCTAATTTTAATCCTTAATTAGTGATTTATTTAAGTTCAAAGCCACGCATGTATGTACATTCGTATGTGAATGAAGTTGAGTCTTCATTTCTCACAGCTCACCGGTATTCCAGCTTTTGTGTAATTTACAATAACGCTGCAGCTTTCTTATACTCATTTTTTGTTTATTTATTGCATTTTTAGCATTGGGGGCTAGTTTGCAGTGGTTAAGTCTGGAGGTTTGGATGATTTATTTCTGAAATATTGTATTGCTGTTATAAAACCAATAATTATACAGAAATCGTGATATGAGGTCTTGTGATGTAGGTTTCAGAAAAACATTTTCTTTATCGTGCCAACGTTTCGACCTTTATTGACATCATCTTCAGGGCCTAGGATTTACAAACATTGTTTACATTTAACAAATGCATTTATGATATTGAAAAATGAATTTATACAATGCAAAATATATTTTTTATATTCAATCAATGTATTTATTTTATTATCAATGTAAGTGTTTGTCTTCTGTGTAATTGCAATTACACCCCCTGAAGATGATCTCAATAAAAATCGAAACGTTGGCACGATAAAGAAAATGTTTTTCTGAAACCTACATCACACCAGACCGCATCTCACGATTTCTGAATAATTATCGATTAACGGTCACTAATCACCACACAAAAAACCAATAATATTCCCCACCGTGGTAAAAATTATTTCTTGGTATTAACTAATGAATGATGAATTATTTTTTAACACTTTCAGTAATCAGTTGAAGAACCACTACCGAAGGGTGAAATCACCGAGAATCAACAGAAAGGATGATTGAAGAGGAATGAGCAACAAATTGGTCAATTAGGACCTCAATGTTTCTTAAACTTAATATCTTACTCAACTATCTGTTTAATTTGGAGAAAGGAATTGTAAAGCGGTTTAACCCCTAGTCCACGTCGTTAGGCAGTGTGTGATAGGAATTACTTTACTTTTAATAAATATAATTAAGTTTGATCCTTTTTTCCTTTAAATAAGGATGAAACCATCACCAAATGGTTCAAGTTTTGAAGAGTGAATTTTTTGAAATAACAAATCATCGTGGGGGCGTCGGTTTAGGCGTTGACACGGCGCTCATCACCGTAAGGTAAAAGTCCTGGGTTTGAATCCAGCAGCCGTGCAATTCGAATCCACCATTGTTTAACTTTTATTTAACATTTTATTTTCTTGTCTCGGGTAATTTTTCTATTTTTTCTGGAAGATTCAAAGGTCTAATTTTATCAATTAGGCTTACAATAGATGGTTAGACCAGTGATTATGTGTCAGATAATATGAACTTTTCCCATGTATTGTATTGCCATAATAAAACTAACAATAATCTAACACAGAAGAACAACACTGATTAAAACATTGGTGCAAGGTTTTTCTCCTCGAAGCTAACATCATAACTTTCTGCTTAAATTAAAGTAACAACTAAATCAATCAATTATACTCTTTATCTAAGGTCTTGGTTGAGATGAAAAAGTGTCACGAGTGGGATTCGAACCTACGACCTTCGCCTTAATACGCTGCTGGTCTACCTACTTGAGCTATCGTGACTTCAATCCTCTCGGACACCAACTCATTTCAACCTACAACCTTTTGAATTTTTCCCTTTTGCCATATTTGTTAAAAAATAATTAGGTGTTACATTAAAATACAAAAATGACATTTTGTAATTCATTACAGTAGAAATCCAATTATCTGTACTTGAAGGAACCGGGACTTGTCCGGACAATCTGAAAAGTTATGATTTTATCAGAATCATGCCATAGAAACGGATACATTATGTTCTGTGAACTTTCTTTCTAAATTATGGATGATATGTCCACTACCTTTTCATATTCAGAATAATTCACTGTATCCTATACAATCATAAGAACCCACATCATCACACTGCCTCCTCTGTTTCATGTTCCTATGCCACATTCAGTTTCCTCCAAATTCCCAACAGATCCAAAATATTAAACTTACTTTCATCTGAGCAGATATTTTTCCATTGGGAAAAAAAATGATTCTGAACATGAAATTTTAGAAAAGAATTTTTTAAGGGGGGGCCTTCATGACTAGGATTTATTGTTCGGCAGTCGGTAGAAAAAATTGTGATGGTGATAAAGTTATGATGGTAGAAGTGCAACGTCAACAAAATTTGGTACCGTTTTTACAGATTTATCTGTGAAAATAGGCAGACCAGGTTCAAATATGATTGAGGGATAATTTATTGCTAACTGAAAAATTTTGTTTTATTTAAGGTTTCTTGTACATCTATCATATACTATATTTACTGTCTACCCTCGCAGGGTTTTTATTTTACTCAAATGCATTTCTGCTTTGCACTATCTTCCTAAACTGAAAGAATTTAGGACCAACTCATAGGCCAACACTAAACATTTTAAATTTTAAGTAAATAACCTATTAATACAATAATTGTTATTACAGCATTAAACAAATCAATAGCTTCATAATAGGTCCATAGCAGGCATGTTCCTATAGCAATCTACATGCCTCAAATACCATAGACCATTTTGTTTTTAAATTATTACAACACATTATTCCATTTACGGAAGGCTGGAAAATGTAAAATACAGAGTGGGTTTGGTTCTAGTTAACTTCTAGGTTTTTGTTTCGCCTGCAATGAAGCAAGATTGAGAAAGTGTTGAAATCATTCGGATAAATTATAGAAAGTAATTATCAGAGTGTTGTAAGGTATTCAATTGTGTTTAGTCTATGAATTATAGGGGCACCACGGTAGCTGTGTGGTTAAGGTGTCAGACTCTCAGCTAATAAATCCTCCGTTCGTGGGTTCAATTCCCACTGTCGCATCTGAATTTTTCTTTCGCATAAGGGGAGCGGTGGCCACAATGAGACACGGCACTCATCAATGGAAGTTCTGGCAGGGTCCAGCAGACCCAGAATTCAATCAACCATCTTCAACAATTTTCTTCGATGGAAAACTTTGGGGGCTCAATGTTGTTGCGAGCTCAAAAAATGTAACCAGGAACCAGTACAATATGCTGTAAAGCTGCTTATCCAGTTCCTGGTATCCATAATAAAAATATAAAAAATTTATAATAAACAGATGTCTTAAAACTTAACAATTTCACTGATTTATAAAAATTTAAAAAAAAATGAAAGGAAAATTTTTGTATTATTTGTGTATATAAAGTGGGAGGTTTATGGGCCGACAAACAACTGAGCTCATCACCGGCATTTTGCATGTTTTCCTTCCTTTTTTTTCCGGTCTTTCACCATATTTTGTTTTAAACTGCAGCCATTTGTGCATATCAGTCTGGTTGCTGACTCTCTGTTTTGATATGTATACTATTGATATCCTTAAATGCTAGCCTCTCGTTTGTACCTCAGGTTGTTAACTGCAGATTAGACACAAGACCTACAATAACTGAGAAGTCTGGTCATATTCACACCCTTAGAGTACTCAATATTCTTCTCGGCAGGGTTGAAATCCCTCCATTCTTGCTAATAACTTACTTTTACTATCCAGGTGTCACATACTCACTCAGAGTACTCAATATTCCTTGGGATAGGGTTGAAACCACTCCATTCTCACTAATAAATTAATTTTACTCTCATACACTCACCCCAGAGTACTCTATATTCCTCGGGGAATAGTTAAACAACCCTATCTTTTCACGCTAATAAATTACCTTCATTTCAATAAATTAACAGAACACAACACACAACACAAATATATTAGTTCGGCCATGTTCACTCCCCCAGAATACTCGATATTCCTCATGGCAGGGTCAAAAACATTCCATTCACACTAATAAATTAATTTTACTCTCCAGACGTCATACACTTACCCCAGAGTACTCTATATTCCTCGGGAATGGTTGAACAACCCCTTCCTTTCATGCTAATAAATTACATTCATTCCAATAAATTAACATGAACACTATACCAGATATAAATATATTAGTCTGGCCACACTCAATATTCCCTGGGGCAGGGTGTTAAAAACATCAAAATCTGGTGACGTCCCCAAGAATTCTCGGGGCAGGTCAAACCCACTCCAATTCTTCCTAATAACTTACTTTTACTCTCCACTACACACTCCCAAATACTTGATATTCCTCGGGGCACGGTTAAACAACCCCTTCCATTCATGCTAATACATTAATTCATTTCAATAAATTAACAAACACAATACAAACATACATAAAAACATTTAATAATCACTATAGCTGATTATTTGGAGATCGTGAGATGCAGTCTGATCTGACGTGGGTTTTAGAAAAACGTTTTCTTTATCGTGTCAATGTTTCGATCTTTATTGAGATCGTCTTCAAGAACACAAAGGAAATGTTTTGATAAAACTTACGTCACACCAGACCGCATCACACGATCTCCAAACAATCATTAACTAACGGTCACTAAGCACCACACAAATCACTATAGCTCTGAGGTACCGGAACGCCAATCCCGCTGCCATACCCCAAGACTACACAGATATGTTTATACGTCAAGCCTTCTACGAAAAGATGCTCTACCGTTATTTTATCCTTCTATTATTTAAACGATTATTATACGATTATAAATAGCATTAAAATATTTAGAGCCATGGGGAATGTATGATTTTGTATTATGCAATTGGAGTTTAGTTTGTAAGAAACGAACTGTACCAAATAGCTGGTGGTTCATGAGAATATATTATTTTGAAAATAATGTTTCTATTGACGATGTGGAGAATTTGTAAATTTCTGAAAGGGACGTTTTTCGGTGGGCCTTTAAGAAGGGGTTTAAAGAACCCGGTTCGGCAATGGGTCGACAAAGATTTGTGACAAGGATAAATGAGTGATGAAGATAGATGATGTAAAGAAGGGCCACGCCCAACTAGTTACCTCGTAATCCGAAGATCGTCCGGATTTGTTGGATTTCTGCGACTGTGAGTCTTCGGGTATTTTGTGGTCCGAATCGCTGTTCGGGTCCGGGGGCGTCCGGATGGTGACGATGCAGGCTAGGCTACCGTCGACGACGATGTTCTGCGACTTGAAGTAGTTGTCGCCTTCGGCGTCGACGACGAGCAGCTTCGTCTCTTCTGGGAGTGATTTGATCCTCTGTACGACCTGTTTATGATTTTCGTTGGCTATGTCGACCCCGTTGACTTCGATGATCCTGTCTCCTTCTTTGAGGCCGGCCGCTTCAGCCGGCGAGCCTTCGTCCACTTTTCCGATGTATTGGCCCGGTTTGCCTTTCTCGGCGTGAAGGTTGAAACCGTAGCCGTCGAAGCTGTCCCATTTGAAAATGTGGCAGAGCCTGAGCGAGTTTGCGTTGAGGTTTTCCGTCGACATGTCCGCCTTCCTATCTCGTCCCTGGTGAGAAAGAAAGAAAGAAGAAAAAGAAAAGAAAAAAACTCTGGCAGAGAAAACGCGAGGGTAGACTCGCTCACCGATCAACAAGTGGTCACCAGACGAGACGAGGCCGAATCGTTTTCTCCCGTCCTCACTTTTTCGATATTTCGATGCGGTACGACTCGTCCCAGTGGGGCCACCAAACGACGGATTAGGCACACTTTCGTCAAGGACGGCTCGAAGGAGGAAGGTCGCACCAATCCACTTTTCCTTTCCGTTTCGACCTGATCCTCATTAGAGACGTCATCGCTAGGCCGCGCACCTCACGCCTCGGCACCCCAACCCTCCAACCAAAACAATTCTTCTCCAACAAAGAACAAATTTAAAAAAAAAACATAGATTTCCTATTTTTCCTTAAAAAATTTTCTCGATTCTCAGCCCCTTCATATTATCAGTATTTGCGGTAGAAAGTAGAAGAAAGAAACCCCCCTAAAAAAAGCAATTTCCTCCCCTTTCACGACAACCAAAACTCAATTTCAATCCTCATCAATCACGCAAATAAACTGATTTATATCCATCTCTTGCTTACTCGAATTGACCTAATATTTATTGACATCCAACGTTTTGAAAAATTTATTAATAAAGACCGGATTTTATTCACCAAAATTAATTGTTCAGACGTCGATTTATGATGTTATTGTTTGTAATATACAATAAATTACATTCACCCTATCCCAGAGTACTCATTATTCTTGGGAGTAATTGGTGATAAGCCACATTCTGTTCACGCTAATAAATTACTTTCATATTTCTTTAAAACATCTGTAGTTTTTTAGTTTAATTATCATTTTTTACATTGCTTTTTCCTCTCATTTGTAAGCAGTTGGTACCTTAATACAGACTGTATTATCTAAATGTAGAGTGTCTAACATTTGGTGTTGGCCTATCGTATAACTTTCCCTCTCACTCACTCACTCTAACTCACTCTCTCTCTCTCTCTCTCTCTCTCTCTCTCTCTCTCTCTCTCNACGTCTTGAATTTTTGTCCAGTTGGGATTACTAAAATGTTCAGACTACTCCAAATACTCGATAGATGTATGGCCTGACTTAAGGATAGGCCATGCGAGGTTGACACACAGACACTTTCTTTTGGTTCTAAGCCCTCTAATGTGTCCGGCATGCAGAGAAAGGTCGCTCGATGTGGCCCAACTAATTGGAAAGTGCAATTCCATGGCTCTATGTAGAGAGCGAGTATTTGGGGGCTCACGTTCCGATTCTTGGATTCGTTTTATTGTATATAGTATTGATAGCTTAATGTCCCGAGCGTGTGTTGAGAGTGAATGTATTTATTAGCGTAAATGTGTATTGTGAGAGAGCCAATGGCGGAATATTGAAAACCCCCATCGCCCCTCAATTAGGTTAGTTATATATATTCTATATATAAGAGAGTGAATGAATTTAGGAATAGATTGCGTTTGGGCCTGAAATGACCTAGCTTGTGAGAGCACCTAGAGCCCAACCTCGGAGGCTGGACGGATGAGTCCGAGATCTCACCCCGGACTGCCAACTCCGGGGGGTGGATGATTCTAGAGGTCTGTCGATAATTTATTTTAAATTACTAAAGTTGGAATTGACGGTGAACTGCGAGAAGTGACAGGTTCAACTCTGTACCCGTACAGATTGTACATGCATGTGCACATTTGAGGTCATATCAATCATTTTTCTTAATGGAAATATAATCAGTTTTTTAATGTGTTCAAATTTGCTTAGGACCAATGGGTCAGAAGGGAAATCCGTTTTTACCCTGAAATTTGATACATTATCCGTGAATCACCCTGTTCATATAGAATATATTCCAACTTATTGTTTTAATAAAACGAAATTAGCTAATATTTTCTTTAGTGATTAGGGTGAGATTTATAATAAAACATTAAAAAAGGAGGAAGGTCATACAGAAGGAAATCGTTTTATTGGCGAGCTACGGGTGGCTATATCACCACTTCCAGGACAATAAAAATTACTTTATGTATTGTAGTTATCATTTATTTTGAATTGGTAATAAATTTGAATGAGGTTGATCTGTTGCGAAACGAAGGAAAATGTCTTAAAATCTCCAGTCTTTTTACAATTGATTTATGTCTGACTGCAACGACTGCAGTATTGGGAGTTCTGAGTTCCCTGGAAAAGACTTCGATATAAGCTCAACTAGAAAGTTTTCCCAGGCATCTTCAATAATAGCCAGATCTGGAGAAATCGCTCATCGAAGAAGCTCAACGTTATTACTTTAAAATATTATTTCCCCTTTTTTTTACTTTCAAATCCCTACATTCGAAGAAAATTGAAATTTATAAACGACAGCGACGAGTTCCAATCTTGTGTTCTAAACCAATGACCGCTTTAAACTCTCGACTTATGTAAACTTTTCTAGAAAGTTGTCCCCAAAAATATAATATACAAGGTGATTCACAATCTCTTACGACAAAATTCGTCAGGTGCTTAAACACCTCAAAGGCAATAAAAAAGTTCGTAGAACGATGGTCCGATTCTCAACAATTTTCCAGATATACAACAGTTATACAAATACAACGAAAGTATTTGCAATACAACGTAGGGTTTTGGACTGGAAGGATTGAATTCGATAGGAGTTGGATGCTTTTGCCCCATATTTTCATGGAGTCCATGTCGGTATGAATACTGTGTTGTAGATTGTCTTTTATTGTTGAGAGATAGTTTGGATCTAATAGTCGAGAGAGAAGTTTAAGAAGTCGTGGGCAGAGGACTACAAAGACTCAAAGACTGTAAGGAGAAATTGCTGGAAACGAACGGCAAGGATCATCGTGAGTTGACGGGTTGTAGTGTCATCTGCAAATTTGAATAGGGAAATATTGGGATGATGAGGGATGTCAGCAGTATTAATTATAGGATTAGACCCAGAACACCACATTGGGGGGGGGGAGGCTGCTTGGATAGGATGGATGATGGGTGAGTGGAAGAACCGTACTTTATCCAGAACTAACGATCGACAAGGTATATCGACAAGATAAGGTTTAGGTAGTGGGGAGGATGCCTTTGAGTTTACATAGCATCCAAGCATGCCAACCCAGAATAAGCATTCTGGGTTGGGGCTTGGGCGTGCGCAACATCGAGATTGCAATATTGTTTTTTGTTTTTTTTTCCAAAGTAGGAGGTCATAACGTGTAAAACGCGGTGACGGTGTTGAACTGTAGAATGTCGGAAACCAAGCTGATTATCAGAGATCTAACGAAGGGAATCAAATTTAGTGGCCGGTGTTATGAGTGGAGCCGATGGTCGAAGCCCGTGGGCTGATGTTGATCCAGCGAGCGAAGGTACTCGTGCAGCAGTCGGCCACGTTGGCTGTTGAAAATGCGAGAGATGATGCTGCGAGTACCCTTGTTGTTCTTGTTGTTGTAGCTAGTGCTGATGGATTGTTCCATTTGTGAGAGTTATGATCTCTTCCACCAGTCTGGAATAAGCAGATTGAGCCCTGTTCTTGCCTTGTAGCCTGCATAATCTAGCATAATCCGTCATGATGTTGAGGAAATGAGTTGATTGGTACCATGGTAGTATGGTGCGGCATGTGAGTACTGACCACGTGCTGTTGTTATAAATAGCGTTAAGAGTTCGTGTGACGTCTTTAAATTCTATTTATGAGAGCTCCCCCCAGTGATGTCGACTATTTGATTTATAGGGTCGATCCCTCGGGCCATTTCCATTGTTTTAAAAACCTGTTTGTAAGTTTCGTCCTTAACATTCAGATTTTACTCTTCGCTCTAAGCGGTTCAGTTACCGTTTAAGCTCTTAATCTGAAAATAGTCTATTTTTGGAAATTTAACATACATTGATATAAAAACAATTGAAACTCGAGCGATAATTTGAGATTATTCCGACGACTGAAAGACAAAACCAGACTATGTAAAGAAAGGTTTACTCATAAAATTATGTCAGAGTATAAACACATATTTTTGTTTTTCTTCCACCTCTGTTTATACAATATGATTCATTTATCGGATGAGAGAATATAAACGCATTCATAAGCACAATGGTATCAATTCAAAGGCTCGATAGCCGAGAAGGCCTTTCTTGTTCGATGGTCACTCTAATTTTTAAATGATAACCGGTAAGTAATAAAAAAATAAATGTCTTTCTTCTCGGAACAGAGACAACAAAACATTAATGTACTTTGTATTAACTGGCAGAATAGATATTTCTCCACTGCGACCACTTTGGACATATGGAGTAGTTCTACCAAGCAAACCATCCAACATATACAATCGTTCCAATCAAAAGTCCTCAGACAAATCGTTAAAGATTTTTACTATGCCACTAATCTCACTATCCACATCGACCTAATTCCTGTTGTCAAGGAAATGATACGTTCTCGATTCCATAATTTTCACACCAACCTCTCGGTCCATCATGAACCTCGATCCCTTTCAGCGCTCTCCCGTCCCGAGAACCGTCACATCATCTGAAACGATGATGGTCTCGAGAGCTCCTAACCATTTAATCCTTCATACTGGGTCGTTTTCGCTGGTTGCTCTTAAAGCGTGCCGTCCGGGTACAGTGCCGGTCAGAGTTTCAATGCTGTGACAGAGAGAAAAAACATATACGTACTTGTATGTATTAGTATGTACGGAATACATTATTTGTTTTGCATTTTCGAAGAATCAGCTGAGGTATGACTGTATAAAGATACAGAACAATCTGTAAGAAAATTTGATATGCAGGTTTAATGATCGCTACCATACTCGAGGAAGACCTTGGTACGTTTTAAAACTACGCCCTTCTACACATATAGAAAAATATGACTTTACGAAGATTATGGAATTTATCGAATCCCTCGATTTCTCCGCCGAAATTAGGACAGAAGAAAACTTTTCTTTGCCGGCTCGAAAAGTGTGACAGAAAACCAATACAGACACGTTTCCCGTGACAAGAAATGAATACAAAATACAAAATGAAAGTAGAAATGTCGCGCTGAATCAATAATAGAGCGAATATCTAATAATGATGGATAGCACAGTAGTGACCCCACTCTGCAAACAAGGTGTTTCTCAGGTCTTTCAAAGCCGTGATCTTTGTTTCCGGGGCTTTTATGATTTAACAAGGAGACCAGTCGGTTATATATTCATGCCATATGCGATGGATAAGTCGGTGAAATCAAGGATCACCACTTACTCTTAACTCACCATTCTGTTTCGAGTTCTTCACTTGTAAACTCGATTTCTTCAATTTACATTTACTTCGGGCTAG